AGAAATAGAGAAGCCATCACCATTGAGTAATAAACGGCATAAATAAAGGCTCGTTAAGAATACAGGTAAGATGACAATGGTTAGTGAAACTATCACCGAAAAGGATGGAGCACTGATAACCTCCTACAACGTTAGGCGCAACAATTTGAAGCACAGTTCAACTAGTCCACAACAAAGTTTCAGTAAACCAAAATCAAGCCTGAACTAGAATGACGCGTAGACGACGGTCCCCCAATTACAGTTGAAGTTTAGAGAGCTGTATCGAACGTGAAACAATGCAAAGCAGCAGGACCTAACTGTTTACTAACAGGAGTCTTCAGTGGCAGACGCCGGAAATGGTCAATTGAAGTGACGTGAGTACTACGTAGTGTATGCGGAACAGAGGTATCACCGTAAGACAGTTGTACTCCTGTGATCATACCCGTATATAAGGAGGGAGAGAAGTATACGCCTGACAACATTAGGGGAATTAGTTTGACCAATATAGTGTCTAAGATCCCAAAATCCATAGTTATCCGATGCCTAACGAGTTTGAGGACAGCAAGAGGAGAACACGAGGCAGGTTTCAGACCTAGACGGGGTGCGCCGACTGGGAAGATATCCGACTATTCATAAAAAGACGAGTATACTGCACTGCAGTACATTCGGTCTTGTTATACAGCTATGAGACATGACCGCCAAAGTAGAAGACATGGACAGATTATAAGGTTTTGATCGCATACGCCTCAGTAGCAGTCCCAGTACATAGCCGAATCACCATTTCAGCAATCTAGGGGTTAATTGAAAGGTATGAAGCAAAGAAGGCAAATCGGTCGATGAGGAAGTTCACCTTCATTGACTGAGGTGACTTAGACATGTATTAAGAATGTTGAGACACCACCTACTTTGACATGTCATGCCGTTATCTTTCTTCCTTCCCGTATCCTTAATAAGCCTAAACAGTTCCCGAGTGTTGCACAGTGTTGATGCCTTCTCGATCTCTACAGCTTTCATCCCCTGTCACTGCTTGCCGTCATTGTAAGGACTGTTATTCGATTTACGTCTCAGCTTCCTTCGCTTCACTTCGTGGTCAGAGCCAGACAGCCAGCCAGTTGGAATCAGTCTTCTTGCATGTGAGTTCTCATAATATCGCAGAAATCTGATCACGTTTGCTAACCTTCACGTGTAGGTTACGAATTGTCTTTACCGTTGTTCCTACAACAGACTTAATATCACTCCAGGTTTGCTCACAATGAGCACTATTGTCATGTTCAGATAAATGCTCAGTTAACTCCTCTATAAATCCATACTTGATGTCCTCACTGCTTCCTGTTCCCTGTGCCCAATAAGGTGCAGACACACGAGCCCGTACTAGCACGTGATCAGAGTTCAAACTGGTACTTCAGGAAGAGTGGTAATCCTGTTTATCGATGGCTTATAGCAGTGTGACCTATCTGTGTTCATCGTTGGTTTGAAGTCAGTGGATACCATATGAGTCAGTGTCTCTCCTTATAAATAAAGTTAGTGCTGGTCACAAACAAGTGGTTGTCGGAGCAAAATTGCAACAGGCGATCACCGTCGTTGGTTCGTTGACATGGGATTCCATAAGTACCCCCAAAGATCCCTTTTTGACTGACTAAGCTTTCCTACTTGAGTGTCAAAGTCACCTGCCAATATGACTATATCTGAACATTTTGCTTTCTGTAGAAAGTTGACAGTTCATAAAATTAATCCTTTGCATTATGTTAACGCAGTCGGTAACCACAAAGCTAATGGCTAACCCAGGAGATGGTGCCGGTAGTACCTAGACTTCAACGGATAACTACTTCTGTCATCTTCATACTTGATAGATTTATACAGAAATGAATAAACATTGGCGCACATCAGATAACCTCACCGAAACTGTTGGTGAATAATCTTCTACTAATCCCTTTTTTAAAACACTTTCATACTGATGCCCGAATAACTGTGCTACACTAGCTCACTTGCTCCTCGTCAAAGCAAACCATCAGTAGTTTGCAAACATATACCTACCGAACTATGAATACCATGGATACCGTATTAAACATAGAAAATAATATATTCCTACTCCCTATCATCGTTTCTAACTTACCAAAACTTGATGACATTGTATTATAGAATAATGAACTGATAGCCTCCGTCATGAATAACGAGTTAAAAGTGTGGGAATTCCAGTGAAGTAATACGGATAAAATCACAAGTGTCACTAATCTACTTTCGAAATTTCTCATTTGTACATTTTTTCTTGACTATCAAAATGTAAACTGTAAATCCGTTAGCCATTCTCATTCAAACCTAATAGAAGAATAAGCGAATATGTTTATCAGGATTATGATAAAACCATTTCGATTTCTGTTGGCTCCAGGTTCATACATTGGTTTAAGCAGTCATCTGAGAAGAGATTTCGGTGCTTGGAAGCAGATCATTAATTATATAAAAGTGGCAGACTTCGTTCTACAACATGGTCACACCTAACATTCATATGAATTACACGTAAGAACACTACTGCTCTAGTCCACCAATACACCGGACCGAGCAAAAGTGTAAAGAGATCACTGAATAAAAAATTCCCGTACTGAGCGTAGGGTTTCGCACATGATTAGGATATTTATTCCGTGAGAATATACACTTCTACCGGGAAAGGTAACTGCACATACCTGAAGATGGCTTGAAGCAATCATCTATGAAATTGTGCGAATTAGTTAGAACAGGTGAAAGCCTCACAGTCATTGAATCGACAGTTGAAACCAACACATGGAACAAATAATGATACCTTTCGGTAGTTTTTTTTGAATGTAATTTTACCTGCCAACCCTCTCTTCTTCAAACAATAGAGTGACAGAAATATAGCCTAAGGTATACAAGATTACAACTGTTGGTAATGAGAAATAATGAGGACCCCCGCTTACTTTGGTACATACAATCCGGTAGGAACCATCAGTGCAAAATTAATTTGTGCCTAACAGTCCACCATACCAAGTTTTCACTTCTTTACCTAAAAAACGGCATTTGGCTGTGTCGATCGAGAGGTGTTATGCCAGTGTCTGACTGTGAAGGGAATACTGAGCAAATACATAACGCTAATCAAAGCTCTCTATTCAAATTCACGCAGCCATGTAAGCGCTTACGGAGAGTTGTCATCAGAATTCACATCAACTACCAGGGTTCACCAGGTATATCCACTGTCACCATTCCTGTGTAACTTCGTAAAAGATGTACTAATTGACATGACCTCAGGAACGTTTGACTTCACAAGGATTGACCCGCTCCTAGGAGGTCATCTGCCTAACCTTGAGTATGTAGACGATATTGACCCACTAAGTAGAGACACTGAAAAATGCAATCTTCAGAATGCGTTCAGTGAAAATCTACGTACATTTGGTATGCGCTTCGCACCTGCTAAATGCAAGACGATACTCTTGGGCTGATCTGCAGCCACCCCCAGTCTAATACTAGTTAGTGAAGTGGTGGAATGTGCTGACCAATTTACATGGGGAGTCCCAACAGTCAAAATAGGGTGCTTGCTGACGAAATCTCAGCTCGGAAATATGAGGTCTGCGTGGCATTTACCAATTCGCGTCACCTCTGGCGCCGACTGGAGAGGTACCTGACTTTCTAGCAATGGACGAGTATACTGCGTTGTAGTCCGTTCTATCCTGTTATGCGGCTGGGAGACGTGGCCTTTGGAAGTTAAAGACGTGAAGGCATTACAGGGTTTTGACCAGAGATGTCTCTATAGCATTGCTGGTGTATAGCGGAATCATCGTGTGAGCAGTGTTGAGATCAGACGAAGGGTACTAGGCAAGACAGACAGTCGTCTGATGAGGTTGTGAATCTTAGTCGACTGATATAACTTGAAAACGTACTGTGCATGCCGAGCCACCACCTACCTCAACGTTCTATGCTAGAGGAAGTTGGATTAGGTTTTGGAAAGAGTTCAGGATGACCAGACCGAGATGTGACACCTGTCGATGAAGTCCCTTATTCTTGATCTGAGTCGTGTGGGGAGACGTAGACTATCTGGTTGGGGTCCCTGAGACCGAAGGAATGAGTAGTTGATGTCTTGGTGACATGGCTAAAAATTGATCACAATGGCGCTGATGTGTTCGCTTCTTGACATTTTTTAGAGCTTGAATATTCACGCTAGCCGTTATCTTCAAATTGTTTATTCTCTCACACAACTTTGTCTGGTTTGATATCACTCTTATTCTATCCAGCTGTTCTTCGTGTATTTTTGTGAACTGTGGTAACTTTAGGCAGTGCACTTGTGTGCGAGGTTCTGCGTTGATTTTATCAGTAACAGTATACTATTCTTTATGCAACCAAAATAGAAACAATAATCTTTTTAACAGTTTGTTGTGTGAAACAAGCTTATACGCACTAGTTGGACATCTGTGCTAGAGATATCACGTTGTCAAATCTTCAGTTAATGGTAGTGAAACTTAGTATATAGTTCATAACTAGTACATAACTACCAATGGTTTGTTGAATTTAGTCAAAGAACTGTGATTAACACATTAATTTGATTATTCATCTATGAATACTTATATATCAAGCTAAGCCACAGTATGAGGAAGACATTTCTTTCGTCTGGGATTTGCTTCTGAGATAAAAAGTTTAGCAATTTTCAGTAGCATCTTGCTGTTCGAATGGTATAAACAAAACCTAAAACTGGTCAAAATGGAGCGTCTTGGAGTTCTCAAATTGAAGCATAAGTACCATTTTATGGAGTTACTGAATATTGTTCAGTTATTCAACGACGTTTATGCATGCATGTTACGATTACTAAAGGAGTGAAAGACGCTAATTGTTGACTTTACCATAAATCTTGGACAGATTCTAGATCTATTTATTTCTTGCCTTCTCATTGCCAACTTCTTATAACTTTAAACAACCAATTCTTATTATTTGTCTTGTACTGAATTATCATCAATATAATCAACACCCTATCGTGTCTCTCCAAGAAGTCAATCAGTCAGATATAAAACTAACAGATCCTCTTACAAAGAAAAATACTTCTAATTTCACCTTATTAGAATACTTGTATTTGAATACAAGTGAATTCGGGACAATTTTTTCGCTCATCTATGAAATCACTTAGATTGACAGAAACATACCTTACATAAATGTGAACAGATGCAGATGAATGCAGAAATGGATAATCAAGGATTCATACTTCGACAGTGCATTAATATATAAGGTTATAGGAGGTAAGCGTCAATAACATTGGTTCCAAAATCAACCTTCAGACAATAAGTAACTACTCAGTAGGAATAATTCTAAGAAGAATAGCAAAAATATGGGTTCGAACACAATTTTTGCATACACATACATAAAGCATAATAGGTGGTTTTTCCAAAAAAAATAGATGACGCAATAGGAAGTTCAGTTTAAACTAAATAAACAAAGAATTACAATTGCAATATACATCTGGGAACAACAAAATATAGATGTGATGGCATATGCATAAGTACACACCACTAATGAGCAAAAAATACTCACAACCAAGTTGTCAAGATGAAGAATTCGAAGGAAAAAACTATGTTCAGCTATTGGGATGAATTTGGGCTGAAGCGATCACTGTGACAATAGTATGTAGGCTTCCAATTCCATTGCACAGGTACTTCAAAAATCTACATATCGATCACGAATATTTTCAAAGAAAAGCCACAAGCTACAGAAATTCAAAATGGAACCATACTATCCATTAGTTTAAAGTCTTTTGATTTTATGCGGCAACAGGATCACTTTCACCTTCATCATCTTCGTTAGTTGAATTCGAGGTATCTGTTAAATAATCATCGCAAGTACAACTGCTTAGTGAGGTCCAGCTGTCTTCACTAGGGCAATCGGTCTCGGCATCAGGACATATACGCGATGAAGTGTTTTGAATAACAGTCCAATTGGACTGTTTATTTTCTGTATCCCATTGGAGTGTTTTAGATCGATGAGCATAAGATGAGGAGGCTGTTTCACTTAACTGAGAATTTATGTCGTTCTGATTCATGTACCGTTCAACTATTTCCCTAGCATTACGTACAGGTTGTGAACGTCGGCGAACAGCAAAACGTTTAATACGCCGCAAAGACTTTGGAGGTGGATCACCTGGTCTAGAAAGGTACTGTTTAAGGTAATCGAATGGAATATTCTGCATATGAAAAAAAAAGATTTGATACAGTTAAATTTGTTTATGATGGTACGGTTGACATTATGACAAAAAGAAAAACAATCTGTTTGATGGCACAGATAACACAGAATTATCCTCCAACGGTATTACATAAATGCTCATCGAAATCTCAATTGAAATGTACTCACCAACCCTGTGCACTAGGCAATGAGCCATATCTATTGTGTGGCAGCTAGTGATACTAAGTGGCTGTGTGAACGTTGGTAGAGGTTCAACCTCTGGTCCATTGGTAGAGTCAACTCTATAAAACACTGAGCCACAGCTTCATACATAAATGCTCAACCAACATACTGAGAAATATGGAGATGTACCTTAAAAATCAAGCAATTTTATCTCCATGATTAATATATTGGGTCACAAAAAGTACAAGCAATTTTTAATATAAGATGATTAGAAGCCATGTGCATGAATTTACACTCCCGAAAGCTAGCTACCACCTTGATGTGTTGTTCAAGCCTGTATATCACAATGACACAACGAGCTATGCTGGTCTTAAGCTTGCTCCCTCGAGGTTTTATCATGCAAGCAAGTTTTGTTGCACAGTGGTTAGAAAAAAGGTACTCACTGTTTTACTGAAAATTACTACACTACGATGGGGGTTTCAGAGCGACATCGTACTGTTGCTAGCTGGACGAGGTGTGACAGCAGGGAGGTCTCCCGCAGGTGACCACCAGTACGACGCTGATGCCGCCTTCCCTAAAAGTAGAGGTGGTCAGAAAAATTCAGCCTCAAAAATGGCACATCCCATGCCCTATGATCTTCCTGTGCTGGCGATATGGGGTTGTTCCTAGCCAGAGTTAAAACAACCAAATCTTTAGCCAACAATTTCAAAAGGCAGCGTGATAGGCCTCAAGCAGATATCCCATGGGCTCTGCGGTTGCACAAATCTTTTTCTCTTTCGGGTACCTCAAGAAGAAATAGCCTTCTACAGTGTGAGCAGCTGAGGAGTATCAACTGTTTGCATGCTACCAGTAGTAAACAAGACCCAATCAACCATACATCCTATTCATGATGGATAGTGTCTAACAGTGAAATCCAAGACGCGTGTCTCGTCCCATCTGTAATTCGTCAGCTAGATGTACCTGCCACCCAGTGAGCGATATTGTCCAAACTAGGACTCGAATACGGGCAGTAACAGTGATCTATCTTATCCTCAACTTTGTCTGCTCCGTTGTCTTCGCCTCCTGATATTGATATTAAGCCTCTTACACCCTACCCAACCTCTCACTCTACAACCATTGTCAACGACCAAAGCTATCGAAACCTCACTCACAGTTTCCTAAGACCTTGCCATCGATTTCGTGTACTAGCTTTCAACATCCGAACTCTGTACCAAATCGAAAAGCAAGAATCATTCGCCAAAACTCTATATTCTCGAGCAATGGATATGTGCTGTGTCTCCGATATGTATACAGGACCCCAGTTTGGTTAGTAAATGGACCTCACCTAGCCACAATAGTGAATCTTCCAAAATTCGGAGACCTGATATTTAACTCCGGTGGACTCGCTGGTGCAGGCATAACATTGAGCTGTAGAGCAGAAGGTACACTCTGCGACTGGATACCAGTCAACAAACGTCTTTGTGCTATTCGGCTGAAAGGATCGGCAAACATAAGGAAGCATTGAGTGACTAGGCGATGCCGATTCGTAATCTCCACCTACGCACCCACCGACTGTAGCTAGGATCGTGCGACAGATGAATACCATGAGCTGTCAACTTTCTACAGAAAGCAAAATGTTCAGATATAGTCATATTGGCAGGTGACTTTGACACTCAAGTAGGAAAGCTTAGTCAGTCAAAAAGGGATCTTTGGGGGTACTTATGGAATCCCATGTCAACGAACCAACGACGGTGATCGCCTGTTGCAATTTTGCTCCGACAACCACTTGTTTGTGACCAGCACTAACTTTATTTATAAGGAGAGACACTGACTCATATGTTATCCACTGACTTCAAACCAACGATGGACACAGATAGATCACACTGCTATAAGCCATCGATAAACAGGATTACCACTCTTCCTGAAGTACCAGTTTGAACTCTGATCACGTGCTAGTACGGGCTCGTGTGTCTGCACCTTATTGGGCACAGGGAACAGGAAGCAGTGAGGACATCAAGTATGGATTTATAGAGGAGTTAACTGAGCATTTATCTGAACATGACAATAGTGCTCATTGTGAGCAAACCTGGAGTGATATTAAGTCTGTTGTAGGAACAACGGTAAAGACAATTCGTAACCTACACGTGAAGGTTAGCAAACGTGATCAGATTTCTGCGATATCATGAGAACTCACACGCGAGAAGACTAATTCTAGCGAACTAGTATACGGAGTACGTTTTCAAGTTATGTCAGTCGACTAAGATTCACAACCTCATCAGACGACTGTCTGTCTTGCCTAGTACCCTTCGTCTGATCTCAACACTGCTCACACGATGATTCCGCTATACACCAGCAATGCTATAGAGACATCTCTGGTCAAAACCCTGTAATGCCTTCACGTCTTTAACTTCCAAAGGCCACGTCTCCCAGCCGCATAACAGGATAGAACGGACTACAACGCAGTATACTCGTCCATTGCTAGAAAGTCAGATACCTCTCCAGTCGGCGCCAGAGGTGACGCGAATTGGTAAATGCCACGCAGACCTCATGTTTCCGAGCTAAGCCTTTATCAGCGACCAGACCATTCAGATCGATGCAACTCCCCAAGCAATTGAAGTAGTCAGCACATTCCTCTACTCCAATCTCCGTTCTGAAGCTGAGTGGAGCTGCAGATCCGTCGAAGGTCATAATCTTACATTTGACAAGTGCCAGTGACAGGTGTGCCAAATATACTCATATTTCTGCTCAATGCATCCACAAGACCCTGCATTTCGTCATCGTCTTCGCCTACCAGGACAATAATGTCTGCATTATCTACATCAAGCAGATACTCTACAACAACTTGGTCAATCCCTGTCAAGTCAGACCTACTTAAGGTTATGTCCTACAGTACATATATCCCAAGAGTAAAAAAGAACATTGACATTGAACATCCCTGGCGGTCACCAATGGTTGACGTCAATTTCGATTATAATTCTACGTGAGTCCTGATACGACTGCGTAAGTTCGATTAGAGAGCTTTGATTAGTATTATACACTTACTTGGTACTCTCTGCAGCACCAGACACTGCTTCAACACATCACGGTCGACAGTCAAGTGATACCTTTAGGTCAAAAATATGGCAAGTGTTGGCCACTGGCGATAAGTATGCCTGTATCCCATAACCTTGCAAAGGGTGAAAATCTGATGTACACGCCCTCGTCCAGGCCTGAAGCCTACTTGGTGTTCTCCACTTTGTTGTTCTCGAGCTCCAGTTAGTCATCGGATAACTGTGGACCCTGTGATCTTGGACAAGATATTAGTTAAACTAATTTCTTAATCATCCAAATGCAGATTATTGCTCCGGGACTAGTCTTTAACGATACCCCTACTAACAATAGAGTGAAGTGGTTGAGCGCGTTGAACACTTCACTTACCTGGAAGGTGCGATAAGCCCTGCAAGCTCAGTGGTCGACGAAATCTATGCACGGATACAAAAGGTTCGGTTGTTTTTTGCCAACTTATGCTATCTGTGGCACCGCCGCGATATTTGATTGTCTATTAAAGGCGGAGTGTACTCTGCTGCAGTCCGCTCTGTTCCACTGTATGACTGTAAAACATGGCCATCATTAAAGGTAGAAGACATGAGAAGGCTTCATGTGTTTGACCACCACTGCTTTCGTAGCATAGGCCGTGTTTCGTGGTGTCACTACGTGAGTAACGCAGAGGTCAGACGTACAGTTTTAAACAGGAGAGGTAAGACAGTTGTTGCAGTTGTGATCCTTCATCGACTGAGATGGCTGGGACACGTATGCCTTGCCACCATCTGCCTCGTCACACAATGTTGGCCGAAGTAGGTTAAGGTTGGAAAAACGCTCGAGGCGGCCAGACTAAAGCATGGCATCAATGCGTGAAGTCCTAAACATACATCATAGTAGACAGACAGGTAGACAAAATCAACATAGAACCTCGCACACAAGTGCACTGCCTAAAGTTACCACAGTTCACAAAAATACACGAAGAACAGCTGGATAGAATAAGAGTGATATCAAACCAGACAAAGTTGTGTGAGAGAATAAACAATTTGAAGATAACGGCTAGCGTGAATATTCAAGCTCTAAAAAATGTCAAGAAGCGAACACATCAGCGCCATTGTGATCAATTTTTAGCCATGTCACCAAGACATCAACTACTCATTCCTTCGGTCTCAGGGACCCCAACCAGATAGTCTACGTCTCCCCACACGACTCAGATCAAGAATAAGGGACTTCATCGACAGGTGTCACATCTCGGTCTGGTCATCCTGAACTCTTTCCAAAACCTAATCCAACTTCCTCTAGCATAGAACGTTGAGGTAGGTGGTGGCTCGGCATGCACAGTACGTTTTCAAGTTATATCAGTCGACTAAGATTCACAACCTCATCAGACGACTGTCTGTCTTGCCTAGTACCCTTCGTCTGATCTCAACACTGCTCACACGATGATTCCGCTATACACCAGCAATGCTATAGAGACATCTCTGGTCAAAACCCTGTAATGCCTTCACGTCTTTAACTTCCAAAGGCCACGTCTCCCAGCCGCATAACAGGATAGAACGGACTACAACGCAGTATACTCGTCCATTGCTAGAAAGTCAGATACCTCTCCAGTCGGCGCCAGAGGTGACGCGAATTGGTAAATGCCACGCAGACCTCATATTTCCGAGCTGAGATTTCGTCAGCAAGCACCCTATTTTGACTGTTGGGACTCCCCATGTAAGTAAATTGGTCAGCACATTCCACCACTTCACTAACTGGTATTAGACTGGGGGTAGCTGCATACTAATCCTGGAGGACCATCTTACTTTGGACAGGTGAATTTCACAACACAATTGTAACTGCTTTTGTCACTATGCAAGAGACCTTTCTGGCTCGTTAGGATACCAAGGGAAGGTGTCCCATTCAATATAGCTCGTTGGGTCATTGTGATACGAAGCTGGATAACCACGTCCAGATAGCGGATAACGATCGGTTAGTGTATAACCTGATCTTAGCATAGGCTCCAACAGACCTGTGGGTGTTCGAATGTGAGTGAGAAAAATAACCTAGGTCAAAGTGTCTTCCAATCTTCTATAAGCCTTTTCTCGGTGTGCACAATTAGGCACTAATTTACTTTATCTGTTTTTTGAGTATAGCTGTAAGCTCTCACCTAGCATCCCCTTCTGGTGCTCGCAATTTGACAAATAAAAAATGGAGATCCTACACTAATAATTCGCAAAATAATTTCGAAACACAAAATGTTTACCGACCACAATCAAAGTAATGAATGCCGTTAACGTTCAGTCATTGTTCCAGAGCTACATCCATAATGCTGCAACTGTCATTCATAATTCGTAAACTACGATACTGGAACGTATACAACTTACATTGAAATCTTGCAGAACGTCCTAGCAACTGAATATTGCGGATAAACAGATCATTTCGAAAAATAAATGTACTATAACCGCATCAACATACCACAAACATTCTTACTGGAAATCGAGAAAACATGATTCTAAAAACGATCGTGCAAGAAAGTTGTTCATTTCTGTATTTTTATTACCTGATGTCCCGATTTTCCACTTCAGAGGTTTTTCGCCTTCTTTGGTATGATTGGTGATACCCCAAAGATACTGGCTGGTTGTTCATGGTTACCTAAAAATCCACTCGTTAAAGATCGCTATTCTTTATACTTGTCCAAAAGCTTAATTTTACCCCTACATATTTATCCCATTTTATGATCCAATACACAAGACTAAGAAGTCTTAAATAACTTGGTCATTGTTAATCGCAAGTTACACTGAGCAGTAGGAAAGGGAAATGTTTCTGCGCACAATAAATGACTACATATCGTTTGATGAAAATACGACTAAAGATTTAAAATCTTACCAAAACATTCAGACAACAGTTAATCGAACTTCCAACCTATAGACTTTAATACAGAATATTATTGAGCCAATGCTTTTCGATGTTTTTGTTAAACAGACAATTGTTCAGCACAAAAGCACATTTTCTTAAAATACTGGATCCTCAATATGCTATTGAATTCGGATACCTTGAGTACCGGGCAAGCTTTTTCTATACACTCGAGTGGTCATTGAGGATAATGTTCCCAACTTCGCACTTAATAATCATTTCCCAATATCTCTGTAGTAAGATATCTATATCTGTCCAGTCAAGATTTCCACGGTGCAAACAAAGAACTGTGAACATAAATTGCCTTGAAACTTAGGCGTAAACGCTGAGCAAAATAAGGTTTTGTGTAACTGATGTTCACTATTAGCGACTAACCTCGTTTCCGGTTTGAAGCTGCATGTCGTGAATTTTCTCCATGAAATCTGAGGAGAATGAAGCCGCTCCTTCGACAATACCAAGTTCATACACCTTGAGTATCGTGAGTTTTGCATACTTGTGCATTTCGGCCAGCCTGTCAGCAGCACTTCTGAAATGCTCCCAAGAGTATTGACAGTCTCTGTTGTCTGCATATTTACAAAAGTTCAAGTGATGAATGGCAGATTACCTCGGTATAATTCCATGACGTACTGAAGAATGCCGTGATACATTTTTAACAAGGTATCTGAAAAGCGTACGACTTCGACATGTCGACGACTAGCAGTTGAATTTATCTTGCTGTTGCAGTTACCATCTCTTAAAGGTTCAGAGTCTGAACATAAAAGAAATCAGAAATGAATGATACCCACCTCCATCCATAACGCAAAGCTTGAAATGTCGGTACTCTGGAATCAATTCAATTTACAATGTTCTAACTCCAGTAACAGAATAGGAAAGGTTTGTGGGTTCTTATATTGTGAAATTTTCTCTGGACGTTTTCGATGTCCATTCAACGGTCTTATTTTGTCCACAGGCCTGAAAAAACTTAGGACTTCAGTGAATTTTGACAAGTTTTTTTTAACTGAGTCTTTCTGAGCTCTTGAAAAAGAGGTTACATATCTTTAATATTTGATGAAAAGGGTGTTAGGCAATTCGTTTGAGTCGGCCCTTGGATTTTACTCTCATTCACTCGAATATGAACCGAATACTGCTTTTGGATCTCCCCATTTAATTGCCTGTAGCAGAGTCAGGCCCAGAAGTGGTTTAGAGGTTAAATGAACCGGTGTTTAAGTCCTTATTCAGGATGTGAATGGCTAAATAAGATCACCTATTACTGAGATAAGGCTAAAAGTATAGCTTTGCCAATAGTTTTTCATAGCGAAGGTGGCTGAAACCTACCTCCAGTCTAGTAGCATCCCTCTGAATCCATTCTAACTTATCAGACTCTCTGTTGGAAATATACCGGATCTCAAATGAATCTTCTTTAAAGCGTTTGGTGCTCTGCAAAGGGATGGATATGTCAAAACCCCTATGGCCACAAACTACTGCAGCTTGTATTCATCTTTGGGCCATGGATTACGCTTATCTCAGAGTTTTTGCTTGCAAAACTTAAGACATTGGCTGGCTATCCATCAGGCTAGTCACTTCGAACGTGCATTACCACACATTTACAAGACCTGAACTCCAAACTCGGCCGTTCAGATCATTCAGTCTTTTTATCATGGTCAGATTGTAGAGCGGATCCATCACTGTAGTCGTCATGACTGATCCTCCCTGACGTCACTAGCAAATAGCGGTGATAATAACTCGAACATCTGTGGTACTCCGTTAGTGTGAAGAATGAAAGACAGTGCTCAGTAGATAGTACTCTAAGGGACACCGGTGGTAAGTTGCCGTGCACACTTACTCTTCGCTTTCTCCTGTGTAAATGTTCCCTATTCCAGGCTTCAGCCCAATAGTCAATGCCCGACTAATAAGGCTTCTTCATCATCTTTGCATGATATTGTGACACGAACATTTCTAAGGCCAAAGGATACAGCATCCAGAGGTTGTTTACTCCCTGTTCACTGCTATTTACAGCTTCGACCCGATCTTCTGTCGCCAGGAGTGGGTCCGTCAAATAACGGTAATGATGATAGTTTCAGTTCAAACACGTAATATTTCAACTATTAACTTCCTGTACAATACTTTTGAGGAGAAATAAGTACTGCATGGAAATAGCACATATAACGGCATCACTACAGGCAACTATGTGAAACAGCCATCTGGTATGAACCGAGGAATTATTGGAAAATAAAGCATAATTCAGGAGTAATTTTGGCAGCTTAAAGGTTACTATACGCCTGGATTTTTGGGCGAAGCAACGCTCTTTCCGCAGTTCTCGAAGTAATTTGCAGACCACTCCATGGTTCCCGATGTTAACCGGAAGATTTTTCTGTGTAGGCTTACCTAAAGTTCCCTATGTTGGCCAGTAGTTCTTTGCATACTGACCTGCAGTTGCTGAAAATTTGACAGCGCCACCTTTAGCTTCCCAAGTTAACAACATTGAAACAAACTCATTTAAGACATTATAACAATTGGAATTTTATTCACAGAGGTATCAGCTCACTGAGTGCTAGTTTCAAAGCCATGTCGGACCCCAGTGTAAGCTATGAATTAGTCATGGATTGACGGCCTGGTAGTCATGCCAAGTGGCTTGTGTTTCAGATATTATGACAAACAGCTTGTCGAATATTATGCTGGAACCGAAGGTTTGGTTTTCCGAAAAGTTGAGCTAAAGGCTTGTAGACGGTTTCCTACAGATCTGATATTTCAGCATTTACAGAAATTTTATTCTTAGCAGATCTGCTTTAGCTGCGAAAGTCATAAAAACCAATTTCACCTGACCAATTGCGTCCGAGACTCGGCCATGATAAATGTAGCGGAATATAATGGGAAAATCCCTCCTATAAATCCCCTGCAGTCACATACGCCTTATTGTTCTACTTTTGCTTTCGTATGTTAACACGCTTTTGCTGTCTATTTTCCTAGCTTGCAGTTGCTCAATTTCATGGGAGAAACTGTGTCGGTTTCTCCTAACTTGTAAGGTTACCTTTGTATTTGTCTTTCACAATTCGGTTTATTCTGACCGCAATTCACCGTGTTTAACCTGTTTAACCTTCGTCACAGTCCCCAATTACTCTCCTCGAGGTCACGTAGGAAGCCGTTGTTGTGGTTCTGCTCTGTCGGTCTACTTGTGACACTCCTCTTGTGCGATCAAGGAAGCTAAGCTCAAGGCTTAGAAAGAATTGGTTCGCCTCTTTGGTTACAGTCGGAAACCGGTCTGGACCATAATCTGTATTCCGACATGGGTGCTTGCATTTCTCTGCCACGATGCGAGCTTGATCTTTTCGACGCCTCCCGTGACGTTATCAGCAAAGAAGATTTGAGAAATCAGTATGCATTCTGAAGTTGTGTGGCAGTTTTCCATCGCCACCGTTTCGCACATCTGCCACTCACACTTTGAAAGGAATTCTGTTGTCCATGGGCGGGTAACATATACCTCTGAAGCAAGAGGCATGAATAATTCCAGTAATAGAGCAATAACCTAGTCGGAAATCTTGAAATGTTGGAAACGATTTGTAGCCGAAGATGTGGGTGCTTTTCGTCAGGTGTTTTCCTGATGGTGGAGCTAGGGATATCGCTAAGCCTTGTGATGAAACGTTCACTGCAAAATACGACAGTTCAAGGAACCATTACTAAACTATGATCATGGGCCAGAATTCGTTTGGCCCTCAAGGGTCTCTTACTCTGGGCAGTGACTTGAAGTAGACTGTCCACTCAGGATATACTATTCGATGAGGCCAACTAGGGGTGTAGCCACCCTTTCGACTGCCTACTCTACTCTGAATGCCCCGCTATAAATTTATCAAAGATTTCGCGGGTGGCGGGTGTTATGCTGACAGACTTAGGGCTTACCACTGGCTAGTCCTGGCTAACTGAGTTGCATAGGTGGGAGGCCTCAAGCCAAGGCTAGGCTCCTCGTCAAAGAAAGAGCCCATATCCATGGAATGACTCTATCCCTTCATTTACTTAGGCAGATTTATCCCCCGTACAATATTTCCAGACGAAATAGTTATGGCATCTAAACAATTTCGATACTGAAAAGTAACAGACAACAAAATTTAGTTTCGGATGTTGCACGGCGACCATTTTACTTCTAGTTTCATCCTCACACTGTGAATTTAACGCGAGGGGTACTGGTTTACGGAGATCACCATATTGATAATAAATAAAGGAATGAGGCAAACGCACTGTCATGCGTGGTTCATAAGGCAAGTTGGTGAGACTGATAGTGACACTAAAACTGTCTGTAAGTTGTGAAGCGAACGGGACATAAATTCCCTTGGTACTTTCGTAACATACATGAATTTATATCATTTTCATCGGTTTCACAGACCATATGCGGAATGAAAGCCACACAATGTTCGATAAACCCACCACAACCTGCTACTGCAGTTAATCCTCGTGCGTAATTTGCTATTTCATCAGGAAGTGTTCTCCTTAACACAAAATCTCATGCTTATGGCTTCAATGATCACAGAGGACCCACTTTTCCACTCATGGCATCAATAAGTACGCGCGAAGTCACACGGCCAGGACGAATGTCTTGATTCATGTGCTTCTGGTTCTTCACGCTTTGCATTTTACGGCAATATATATCTACCGCATTGGGAATAGCCGTCGTGGTGCATGGAAATAAACACTGAAAGAGTTTCTGTCCAAATGATAACTGATGGTGTGCAGGTTTCCAGTGTATTTAATGCTGCTTTATGCAGCATTGTCCAAGAAATATTGCCATCTTACATTCGACTAGATCACACGATGCAAGCTACTATGAGAACAACGGTGAAGCGTCGCGGCGGATAAGCTACCTCCGGAGTCCTCGGGCAAATTCATCCTATCAATTCAATCATTTGTTAAGATTTTCACTGCTACCATCAACGATTAGCCTATTCATTTCAGGGGCAGCTTTGCAAGTGGACTTTTGTTTTAAAACCGTCTTGTGGCTTATACGTGTGCTGTCATAAAGGGAAAGGAAAGGATAAGCGCCACCAAATATCGTGGTGCGGGTTCACTGAGCCAGCACATAAATCTACAGGTCGAGGTAGTTAGTCCTCCAACGGCAACATGAGGCAGTGTTTTGCTCTTGAGGGCCATCTGTCATGTGCCATAACGTTTTTTCAGATTTTATTGTTGACTTGCTTAGCAAAGTTGAGGGGGTGAGACGATTTGCCGCAGTTTGTTCGTATTTGAATGGCCAAACGAATTCCCGATAAGACAACTATGTCACACAACTGATAAAGAAAGTTTGTTGGCCCAAAGTTTAGGCAGGTAGAGTCAAAGAAAGCTTCGAGGCCAACGCAATGGGCTTCTAGCTGCCCAATAATATGCCAGAGCCACTCTGGAAACATCATGAATTTCAGGTCCTTGCATAAAAGTGGTCTACCAGCTTGGGTCACTTTCATCTAAGAATAAGTTTCGTAATCCAGGTGTAGTGGCGCTTCAAGAGAACTAGCTTCGTTACCTGTACGACGACAATGATTCGGTTTCCTCAAATTGTCACGCGCAATTTTGGGTCAAGATATTTCCGAGATGGACCGTGGGTGAGGTGAAGTGACGTTTCTTAGTACTCGCTGGCCCACTTCCAAGTACTTACGCCCCAGCTTGTCCAGTCATAAGTTTTCCGGTTCCTCCGCCACACATCTTTCTAAACTGCTGGAAAAACATTTCCGCGCAACCAAGTCCCACGTCGCACCTGAATATGTCGTAGCCCTAGGTAATTCCACGAGATCAAAGCCTAAGGCCAGATGATATTCGGTGTTTACGTTGACCTTCACAGATCCAAAAACTTTGATGGACCTGGTGTATGATATCGTGTT